GGGAGTTTGTTTGGGATCCTCCCTCTCCTCCTGCCCCTCCCCCTTGCTCGTTCTTGTTCTCGCTAGCTCTCTCTCTCTCTCAAATAAATAAATCTTAAAGGAAGAAGAAGACGAAGAGGCACTAGGGATGCACACACACAAAGAAGAGGTCATATGGGGACAGTGAGAAGTCAGCCATCTACAAGCCAAAGAGGGAGGCCTCAGAGAAACCAAAACTGCCAACACTTTTGCCTCCAGAAATAAGTAGAAAATAAATTTCTCTTGTTTAAGCCCAGTCTGTGTATTTTGTTATCACAACCCTAGCAAACTGATACAATGGGTATAATAATAATACCCCCTCGTGGGAATCAGGATTACATGTGGCTGATGCAGTGCTTGGCTCCCAGTAGGCACTCAATAAATGGAAGCCCTTTTTTTTATGGCTCAGAAAGAAAAGAAGGAAAACAAAATAAAATTTGCTTTCTGGGCAAGAAAATCAGTGATTATTTAAAACCCATATGCCAAGCACTTTGAGTAAATACCTAATTTAATCTGAATAACAATCCTGAGTAAACTGTCCTTATTTTGTACCTGAAGAAACAGAAGCCAAAAAAAAAAAAAAAAAGAAGCTTATATAATTTGTCTAAAGTCACATAGAAAGTGGCAGAATCAGGAACATGGCTTTAAAATCTGTATTCTTTCCACTATGCTATACCACCTACTAAAGCAGCTTCCTAGGAGCCAAGAGGTTACTAATGAAAGAGACCCATTCTGGATGATTTCTGCAGCAGACACCCAGCAAGGGGGCTGGCTTCTGTGGAAGGAACGTATTCCTGCCCACACACGGATGTTCACTCCCACATCAAGCTGGGCCACACAGATGCCTGCAGTCAGTCAAATATCTTTCCGAAAAAGAATTTTTAATCTTCCCAAGCACTTGCACCAAATATTCCCTTTATACTCCAGAGCTCTGTGCCAAAGGCATGTGGCTAGTTTTTCTGAAGGAATGGAAAGGGCATGTGTTGACAGGGTGGCCTTTCCTTGCAGTGCCGGGTTAGAGGACAACTGCCTGTAGACAGACAGGTAGACAGCTGGGGCAGGATGAGATAACTGCAAAATTGAACCCTGATTGGCCACACGGATGGGTTCCCACACATGAGATCATCTGTGTTCTACTTTAGCCAAGGAGAGTATCGAGTGAAATAATTGTATTTTACATAGAGCTGCTCCTACGTGGTCTTTCCAGTAATAATTAGCCAATAGGATTATGTTTTAAGACGACTCCCTATTAATGAGGAAAGCTCATAGTTAGTAAAGGTGTTTTCTTGTTTACTAGCTCATGGCAGTTACATTTAAAATTTTCAGTTATTTTTAAGACAATTTTTTTAGGGTAGTTTAAGGTCTACAACGAAATTGAGAGGGAGGGACAGAGATTTCCCATTTACCTCTACCCCACGAATGCAGAGCCTCCCCCATTACCAATATCTCCCACCAAAATAGTACATTTGTTAGCAAGGATGAACCCACATTGACACATCATCATCATTACCCAAAGTCCAAAGTTTGTCTTAGGGTTCACTCTTGGTGTTGTACATTCTGTGGGTTTAGACAAATGTATAATACATGTATCTACCCTATAACATACAGACTGGTCTCCCTGCACTAAAATCCACTGTGCTCTGCCTACTCCTCTCCCCACTGCCACCACCCCTGGAAACCACTCATCTTTTATCTCCATAGGTTTGTTTTAGTTACACTTAAATTTAAAAGGAACTAGAAAGCAGCTCTTTTTTAGGCAAATCAAAACCGAACTTACAATGTGTGGAAAAGCCATTTCTCAAGATTGGCCATGAATCACTCAAGTGGGGTTTCATTATACTGTTTTGATTGTATATGTTTGAAATTTCCCACAATAAAAAGTTGTTTTTTTTAATAAGCAGGATTGACATTAAAAGCATTATTTCTGTCCTGATTCTAACATGAATGTTAGAGATTCAAACTTTGAAAAAGCTTCTAAGATAGGGATAAAATTAGTCATGTGTATCTACTTGTGAAATCAAGGGCTGATGAAAGATGGAGGACTACTGCCAAATACCTTGGGTGTCTCCCAGACATCTTAATAAGATCATCAGTAATAGAGCAGTACACCCAGAATCTCTTTGGCTCCCTGTGCAAGTGTGGAAGATGCTGTCAGTACACTATGACTTATCCTCTTAGCACCTACCACTTGAAGGTTATATGACCTTGTTTCCAATGTCTAACCTCCATGACTCTACTAGACCTTCTCTCTTCTTCAGAGACTGCCTACATTAGCTAGGGGCAGACCTCAAGTCCTTGGGAATCAGTGCTCTCTATGAGCACCCCTCAACCACTGCCTGAAGGGAGCTGGTAGAGGAGTATCCTAATTTTCTTTTTCTTCAGATTACTTAGTTCTGAGGCTCTTGGTCTACAGCTTTTCCCAGAATGCACCCTACCCAGATAGAACACTGATTTTCCAAAGTGGCAACTTCCTGGACAACATATCCTTTATCAGCTTCCTTTCCTTTCCTGTCTCACCCCACTTCCCTACTAGTATTCCTGGGATCCTCTCTCAAATGTGTTTGTGTATCTGAATCCCTGTCTCAGGATCTGCTTCTGTGAGAAATCAAGCAAGATACCAAATTGAGAGACCTAGCCCTCCACCTGAAGAAAAATTTCGTGAGGGATTTTGAAAAGATATCCTATAAACGAAGGCTGTGTTTGGGTTAACATAAATTTTTCCCTCTTTCCAAAAATCACAGAGTAAGTTATACTTGAATCTACCCTGCAGAGCTGATGTAAACAGTTTGGTAAGGATTGGGGCCATGACCCCAATATTTAGGTAAAAATCTAAAGAATTCTTTTTTTACGATGATTTATTTATTTCAAGGAGAGAGCATGTGAGCAGAGGGAGGGACATAGGGAGAGAATTTTAAGCAGACTCCTGGCTGAGTGTGGCACTTGAAACAGGGTTTGATCTCACTACCCTGAGATCTTGACCTGAGCTGAAATCAAGAGTTGAATGCTTAACCGAAGACTGAGCCACCCACGTGTCCCTAGGAATTCTTGAGATAAGCGGTATTTTATAGGATTTTAAAAAAGCCTCAAACGATTATCAAATGGATTGCAATGGGCGGAGTTACATAATCCCAACTAAAAATCTGCCAGTTGAATAAACGTTCACAGTAAGAACTGTGAGACAGACTAATTTGGAAATTTGGTCAGCAACCCGGTTATTAGAGAAGGATCAAAGTAAAATGCTAGGTTCTGTGTGATGAGAGTCCATATGAATGTGAAAATTTTTTAATCTACATTTTTAATTGAAAACAATATTTTTAGTCAGTATCATTTGTAAGTTTGCAAGCAAGTGCCCTCAGAAATGCCAAACTCCGTGTATAACCTTTTTGACTTATGACTATCTAGTTTTAATAGGAATAAAAACCTTGTATTTACCATTTATCCCAATTTTAATTCCCCTAAAGTATCTTGGATGTTGTAAGGAAAGGAACCTGGTAGGACTCCTGGTTTTCTCATTTAATTACCTGGGTTGATTATGGTGCCAATAAACATACACATATGGCTTGGGATTGGAAGAGATAATGACATAATTTAAGGCATCTGTGGACCACGGAGGGGGAGATGTCTGTTAAGTGATGAGTGCAATGTCCTATGCATGGTTAGAAGAGATAACCTATCTGTTCTCTGCTTTATTCTCAAGCCACTTCCCCATCACAGACTATGGCTTCAGCCACATGTGACCCTCTCTTGGCTCTGGGTTTACACTGGCTGTCCCCTCTGACTCAAACACTTTTTGTATCCTCCCCACCCCCCTCCCCATCACCCAGACAACTCCTGTTTGAACACCTTCCAAGACAAAGCACTCATAGCTCCACCCTTGCAGCTATGACTTTGGCATTAACTCTCGGTTTCCTGAGACAGTGGTGCTGGTAATAAGAACACTTCACAGGACTATTAAGATCAATTAATTATACATTTAAAGCACTTAAAACAACACGGCACACAAAGTGTTCTCCAAGTCTTTGCCATAACTACTACCAGTTTCTGTCTTGTAATACAGCCCATATCATCTTCTGTTCAATTTTTTTTTTTTAAGATTTGTTGTAATAACAGTCTTACCAAATAGTGCTGGTTTAAAATAATGAATGTTCTGATCTTTTCTAAATCTTATCATAAACCACGGTTTTCCATAATTTTTACCAAGCTTTCCCCCCTTTCTCTTTAACCCTATTAAACCTTTACATCAGCTTTTGTGTGTGTGTGGATCGCCGTAATCTGTATACTTCCAACGTTTTATGCCTGTGTTGTATCTCACTGTTTTAAGAATTTCCTGACATTTGAGCATATGGATTATTTCTAGTCTTTCATTATTTTGATTGGGCCTGTGTGACAAGCTTTTTCCTATGAGTTAATTACTTGGGAGTTTTCTGAAAAGTAAAATTTATATCAAATTTTATTTTTATACCTTTTATGAATTTCTCCAAATGTTCTCTAAATATTCTTATAAATCTATTATAACCATAGATATCTATTACCCATTATAAGTGCTAACATGAAAAATTCAAGAATCTTTATGAATTTTAGATATGCATTATACCAAAAAGTTACAAAGCTAAAAATAGTATCTTTGTGGCTTAAAGCAAGGATACTTAAAGTTAAAATTTTTCTAACAAATATGAATTACTGTAATTTAAAAAAACTGGCTTGGAAATATATTAAGCCCTAGGCCTATTGAAACCTAAATTAATCTTTTAACTTTTTTATTGTAGCATGTATAATTTAGTTTATGAGAAAAATAATCCATTACAAGTAAGGTTGTTAAATGAAATTGATGACTTCTTTTCAATGCAATACCTTTCCCCTTTCATATTTTAGCATGCTTAAAGAATGCTTTATAGCACAATTATAACTATTATAAATGTCAAAGAAATTTAAGAGTTGATTCACAATTACTCAAATTTTCTTTTTTCAAAATTTTGAATTAGATCATAGAAAATTCTGTACTATCCACTGCACTGGTTACTTGAGAAGCTGGCCTCCAAATATTGTTGGAATGGAAGAAGAAAGGGACAAGAAGAAAGACTGTAGTAATTTTACCTGCCTTGTTGCTATTGGGAGATTACATCCATATATTGTCCCACAGAACAGTGGAGAGATTAAAGTGAAACCAACTGAATTTATAACCCGGTTTGCAATGAATGGAAAATTTGTCTATGTGGACCAAAGGTGAACATTTATATACCATAATGATTAGAGTTCGATGAGATACTTAAGACTATTAAAGATGTGCCCAGTAGCACTGCTGGATAAAACTTGGAATAATATTTTTTGGCCTGTGGTGCAGCAACGGAGCATGGTCTGTTTTATTGAATAGGAGAAGAGCATACTCTGGACTGGGTGGGTGTCCATTCTATGTTGTACCTCTAGTCTGGGTCTAGGGCAGCCAAAGGGATCCTAGTGATGCTTATCAGTTACTCATCCCCCTGTCCACATTCCTATTATGCCAACCATACAGGGACCTACAGTATTCTGGAAGGGATTGCATTCACCGATCTGAAGTTTATTTTCAATTTTAAAACCAGGGCGACAGCAATTTTAGGATATCTGCCTCAGGAGCTTCTGGGAACTTCTTGCTATGAATATTTTCATCAAGATGACCATAGTAATTTGACTGACAAGCACAAGGCAGGTATGCATCGAATGGGCTAATTTTGGGGGGTACTTTTTAATTATAGCTTCAACTCATTTCTCATTTCTGTGATATCTGAAACTTGAACTAATCCTCAGGGGATTGATTTATATCGTGGTAACCCATTATGCTGATTATTATCTTTTCTTGTTAAGTTCTGCAGAGTAAAGAGAAAATATTTACAGATTTATACAAGTTCAGAAAGAAAGATGGCTCTTTTGTAACTTTAAAAAGCCAGTGGTTTAGTTTCACAAATCCTTGGACCAAAGAACTGGAATACATTGTGTCTGTCAACACTTTAGTTTTGTAAGTAATTTTTTATGTTGTCAAGACCTTTGTGTTAACTTCAAATGAGTGTCTTTTCTCATCTTGCTAAACCATTAAAGATGTATGATTATCTGGCTTTATAACGAGTATATATTTTTTTGTAATTGATTCACTGTTCACTGGTGTTACCTCTTAGAATTAAGCTGAAAGCTTTCCCTTTTGTAATAACTGTCTTTTTGCTTGGTATAAAAGGTGACAGTAAATGCATTCACTCAAGCTCTTTCTTCTTGTCCTTCATGCCCTTGTCTTGTCCTGTCACAAAATGATGTAGCTGTAACTTAAAACTGTAGATCATTGTAAGAAATCATTTTGTCCCGCATGTCATTTTTGCATGCACATCTTCTGAGCCTGAGGTACCACATGTGATGGATTGTGTGGGAGTATTTGGCTGAGGGAGAAGCAGAAATCCAGCCTAAGGATTACTTGCCAAGCCCGGCTGTGGCTGTATCAGCCAGCCTGGAAGAACAGCCAACTTCTCCTGATTTGCTTACTAAACTAACAGAGACCATTCTAAACATTATCTTTCTGTAAGGTTTTTCTTTGTAATTGCTGTAAGGTTGCAGCAAACCAATCCTATTTCCTGATCTACTGTAGTTTTTTAAAAAAGCCCCCAAAGCTTGGTATCTCTAGCAGTATCCCCTGTTATTCATTCAGATAATCCTTGCCTGCTTATCATTAATATACAAACTGAGAGTTTGTAACCGTGAGAAAGTGTAATTCACAGGGTAATAGGGCGTTGGGTAAATGCCCTGGTACATAGCACATCAGTGCCTTGATCCCTGGTTGTGACATTAACAATGTGTATATATAAAACAAAAAGGCCAAGAATTGATAAGTACACAGAGTTATAATGTAGTGGCTTTAAAAATTTCCTTCGCTTAAAAAAAAAATTACCTATAATGTTTCTTAATTCTAGGGGACATAATGAGATGAAAGAAGTGTCATTACTCCCTTGTAGCTCTCAATCATCAGAAGGTAAGCTTAGTTTTAAATGATGGAGATTTATTACTAGGACTGTTATTGTTACCATCTTTTTCTGTCTTGGAGAGGGAAACATTTCAAGATAAAATTGCAAAGACTTCTAGGGCTTAAGTTATCCTCTTCAGAATTTCTAGAATACTTTGACCACACTTCCATTATAATCTTACATCTTTTTGCAATTAGTTGTTTATTCAACTGGCCTGCCACTAGACTGAGTTCAAGAATAGGAATGGTATTTTACCCATTATCTATCCCTAGAAGCTCCCTGTAGTTTGTGTTACTCAATACATATCTGTTGGGTAAATCAATGGAAAGCAATAAGGGGGAGTTTTTGTTTATCTTGCTTATCCACCAAGAGAATATTTTAACAAATTACTTGTATAAATAAAAGTAGAAATATTAAGGATTATTAAAAAATGACGCAGTATTGCTCTGACTTTAGTGTGGAGATTAAAATGGGAAGGAAATATCCATACCCAAGGGTTATGGATTATGATTGTACCCTCAATGATATTCTATATCATTGATTCCTATCATTCTTCATATGCGTCTTAAACCATCAGGAGTTATGTTTATAATACAAGCATGACTGTTTCTTTCAAAGAAAGAAATAGGAAGTATATTGGAGTTGAAATAAAAAATTTTTAAAAAAGTTATATATACATTTTTAAAGTCCTCATTTGAATTTTTCCTTTTGTTATTTTTTAGAATCCTCTAAACAGTCTTGTATTAGTGTGCCTGGAATGTCTACTGGAATAGTACTTGGTGCTGGGAGTATTGGGACAGATATTATAAACGAAGTCCTGGATTTCCAGAGGTGATGTTTTCAAATATTTTCACAAGTGAATTACTGTATTTATAAAACCAATATTCAAAAATCAGTAAGTTTCCCATATACAAACAGTAACTAGTTCAATAAGATAATGAAAGAGATCATTTTTACGGTAGCAACAAAAAAGGTAAGTATTTAGATATGAACTTCAGAAGCATCCAGAACTCTATGAAAACAAATTGTTAATGCTCCAAAGGTTCATAAAAGATGACTTGAATAGCTTTCTGGATTGTTGTTTTTCAATGGGAAGACTCAATACTGTAAGGATTTCAATATTTGTTAAGCTCATCTATGAATTCAGTGTGAATCCTGTCAAAAAGGCATCTTGCATTTGTTTTTTAGAATCCAACAAATGATACTAACCATATTGAGGAAAATTCTAAAAACTAAAAGTAATAGAATGAGTTAACCCTAACAGATATTAAAATATATTATAAAGTGACAGTCACTAAAACATTTCAGCACAACCCACAGGTAGATTAATGGGAAAGAATAGATTTCAGAAATAGACTCAAACACATATAGGAATTTAAGATTTCCCTATTGTAATGACTAAAATAAATGTAATGACTAAAAAACCAACCAATCAACCAACAAAAAAACAAAATCCCACATATAGGAATTTTTTATATGGTAAAAGTGGCATTTCAAATCAGTGAGGGGAAATGGATTAAACAATTACGAGCATTATAATAACTTTAACTGGGGGAAAAAAGCTGAACACCAATTTTATTCTTTACATTAAAATAAATTTCAGATAAACCAGAGAGTTCAAATTAAAATTTAAAAACTATAGAACTATTTCAAGGACAGAAATACGAGTTTTTTATAATCTTAGTTTAGAAAGTCCTTTCTAAACATCACACAAAATCTGGAATTCATAAAGAAAAAAGTAGATAAATTATATTAAAAACTCAAAACTTAAGCCAATAACCATCATGACAAAGGTAAAAGAATAATAAATTGTGAAAAATGTGTGTTTCATGTGATAAAATGGACTTAATATATCTTACTATATGAAGTTTTATAGTATAAGAAAGTTATTAAGCTATTTAAGCTTTCTAAATAAACTTTAATTTTATTAACTTATTTTAAACTTTATATAGAGCATAAAGTTATTAAGTAATTTTTAAAAACAGCTCAATAAAAAAGTTGGAGAATAGAATAGAAAAAAATCATAAATGGTCAAGAATCTTCAACAATTGCTCAACCCTCACTGGGTATTGTGTGTAAATGATGAATCACTGAATTCTACCCCAGAAGCCAATACTGCACTGTATATTAACCAACTAAATTTAAAAACAAAACAAACAAACAAACAAAAACAGAAAATGACTGCTCAACCCCATTCACAGTTACAAATATATAGAGCTGACCCTTTTTTAAAAAGAATTTATTTATTTATTTGAGAGAGAGAGAGAGAGCATGAGAAGGGGCAGGGTCAGAGGGAGAAGCAAACTCCCTGTCAAGCAGGGAGCCTGATGTGGGACTCGATCCTGGGACTCCAGGATCATGACGTGAGCCAAAGGCAGTCGCTTAACCAACTGAGCCACCCAGGTGCCCCCTATACAGCTGACCCTTAAACAATGTTGGGATTGGGGATATCAAACACCTCCCCAGTCAAAAATCTGCATATAACTTCCAACTTCCCCAAAATTTAACTACTAATAGGCTACTATTGACTAGAAGTCTTACCAATAACATAAGCAGTAAGTAAACACATATTTTGCATTTTTTATATATATATATATATATATAACTGTATTCTTACAATAAAGTAAGCTAGACAAAGAAAATATTGAGAAAAATCATAAGGAAGAGATACCTTCCAAGATGGTGACATAAGACCCTGAATTCATCTCTGCCACAGACACACCAAATCTACACCTATTTATAGAGCAGTTTCTCCTGAAGAACTAAAGGCTGACTGAAGAGCTTCTGTACAAGTGAAGTAATAGAGACTACATAAAGAATAGTAAGAGAAATACAGACACTGTAACAAACGGAAAAAGGGAATTCCCACCCTTGACACTGTAAGTAGTAGTGGGAAAAAATAGTACTGAGGGATTATGAACAGATAAGTCTACCATGGGGGCACATACAAAAAAGCGTGGTTTAGAAGATCAAACAGAATATACAGGAACCAGCTTGGAACTCTGTCAAAATATCTCAAGGGAGCTGCTGGATCTCTGTCCAGGTCAGAGGGGCTGGCTGCCACAGTTTATATTCTGCCTCTACCCTGAGAGTGTGGATGAGAGCAGGGTCCTGTATGCACATTCTAGCTGGCCTATTCCTTCACTGAGCCCCATGTCCCAGCCCACACGAACCCTGCTGTCCAACCAAGGTGGTCCCAATATAGCATATAGTAGGACACTAGGACACATCTGGTCAGAGCTCAGTATAGCTTCAGCTGTCTTGCAAAAGTGACACAGGTGCAGAGTACCAGAACACTCCAGGCCTGAACCACTTCAGTTCCACATGACTTGCTAGGGCACTCCTGGTGCAGAGCATTCTGGGACCACGTGGTTCATGCTGCATTAGCTCTAGCCACCTTATCAGGGTGTCCTGTTTCCAATGTGTCCCAGAACACTCAGACCCAGCCCTGCCTTGTTTCCAGCCACTCTGCCAGGCTACCCTTTGGCAGGAGCCCCTAGCATGTACTCCCTCATCTCTGCTATTCTGTCAGGGCAGCCTCAGTGCAAAGAGCCCCGGGGCTATGCTGGCCCATGATCTCTTCAGCTCCAGCTCTCCCACCAGTGCAGCTCTAGCACAAAGTGCCCTGGGATCCCCACCCAGACTAACCCTACCTCTATTCATCCAGTCAACAAAATTACCAAGCTCTTAGTCTACACAGGGGACAATCGTACACAAGCCCCTTCCTTTAGGTTTAGAAGTAGCTATTCCATCTAATTCATGGAAACAAAAACAGTAAGTTGGTCAAAATGAGAAGACAGAAATATGCACCAAACCAAACAACAAGGCAAAACCGTAGGGAAAAGAGTAAATGGAGATACCCAATCTATCTGATAAAGAGTTCAAAGTAATGGTCAAAAAGATGCTCACTGGACTAGAAAGAAGAGTGGATAAACTTAGTGAGAAGTTTAACAAATTAATAGAAAATATTAAAATAATCAGAATTAAAGAATACAATGACAGAAATGAAAAATAAAATACAGGGAATCAATAATAAATTAGCATATGCAGAGGAATGTATCACTAATTTTGAAGACAAGGTAATGGAGAGCATCCAAGCTAAATAGCAGAAAGAAAAAAAAAATATTAAATGAAAACAGGTTAAGGGATCTCTTGGACAACATCAAGTGAACAAACATTTGCATCATAAGGATCTCTGAAGGAGAAGAGGGAGAAGAGGGCAGAAAACTTATTTGAGGAATACTGATAAAAACTTCCCTAACCTGGGGAAGGAAATAGATAACAAGATAAACCCAAGAAGTCCACACCATGACAGTTTTTGATATTTAAATTATTAAGAGAAGATTTTAAAAGCAGGAAGAGAGAAGCAACTAGAAATGTATAAAGGAAACTCCATAAGGCTAACAGCTGATTTTTTAGCAGAAAATTTGCAGGCCAAATGATATGTTCAAGTGTTGGCCAAATGATATGTTCAAATGTTGAAAGGAAAAAAAAAAACCATACAACTAAGAATATTTCACCCACCAAGATTATCAATAAAAATTGAGGGGGGGCGGGGGGGAGGTTGTGGGAACAAGGTGGTGGGTATTAGAGAGGGCACGTATTGCATGGAGCACTGGGTGTAGTGCAAAAACAATGAATACTGTTACGCTGAAAAGAAATTAAAAAAAAAAGGAATTAAGGAGAGGTAGGGGCACCTGGGTGGCTCAGTTGTTAAGCATCTGCCTTCAGCTCAGGTTGTGATCTTGGGGTCCTGGGATTGAGCCCTGCATCGGGCTCCCTGCTTGGCCAGGAGCCTGCTTCTCCCTTTCCCCCTGCCACTCCCTCTGCTTATGATCACTCTCTTTCTCTGTGTGTGTCAAATAAATAATAAAATCCTTTAAAAAAAAAAAAAAAAAGAATTAAGGAGAGGTAAAGAGTTTCCCCAAACACAAGTTAAAAGATTTCACCTCCACTAAACTGACCTTACATGAAATTTTAAAGAGAATTCTTTAATCAGAATGTAAGAAAATTACAAAAGGAAAAAATTCCACTGATTAAAAAATATACACAGTAAAGGTAGTAGGTCAACCTTATACTTATAAAGCTAGTATGATGGTTAAAAAACGAAAGTAGTAAAATCAATTATATCAACAAAAATTAGTCAAGGGATACACAGAATTAAAAGATGTAAAATATGCTGTCCTATACATAACATGTGAAGGGGGGAGTAACAATGTAGTGCCTTTAGACTGTCGAACTTAGGAGACCATCAACTGTATATAGACTGCTATATACTTTGGATGTTATATATGAAACTCATGGTAACCACAAGCCAAAAATGCATAAAAGATATGGAAAAAATTAAGAGAAAGGAATCCAAGGTTAACACTAAAGAAAGCCATCAAATTACAGGGGAAGGGAGCAAGAGAAAAAAGGAACAAAGAACTACAACAACCAGAAATAAGTGAACAAAATGGCAGTAAGTACATAGATATCCATAATTACTTTAAATGTAAATGAGCTACACGTTCCAATCAAAAGACATAGGGTGACTCAATAGATTAAAAAAATTTAGACCTATCTATATGCTGCCTGCAGGAAACTCACTTCAGAGCTAAAGACACATAAAAACTGAAAGCGAAGGGTGGAGAAAGATACATCATGCAACTGGAGGCAGAGAATAAAAGCTGGGATAGAAATACTTGTATTAGACAAAACAGACTTTAAAACAAGGACTATAGCAACAGACAAAGAAAGGTATTACATATTAATAAAGGGATCAACCCAAGAAGAGGACATAATAATTGTAAATATCTATGCATTCAATATAAGAGTACCTGAATATATAA